GTCAACATGTTACTCAAGAATGCTACTGAAAATGATAAAATTGGATTCTGCTTCAAGATTTCTCTAATACATTCAATCAGGTTGATTTATTCTTTCTTTGCCTAGTTCTTAATAGAATAAAATTCTTAAACTGACTATCAATCTCATTATTAATCTCTTTACTTCATAGAAAAATACTGTATTTATAGCGTATGAAACCTTAGACCTGTATAATATTAAGATTAGAATCAATTAAGGTGAAGTTATTTCTTCCCTGATGTAGTGCATTTACCTCGACCCTCTACTTTGCGAAGTGGACTTTTTACATAAAGGATACTCAATAGAGCATATTTGGATTTCTGATATTATTACTATGAATACTAAATTAATGACAGCTACTGTCTCTTCACTTACTTTTATAGACAATAAAAACTGAATTGCTAGCTCTAAATAAGACCTTGAAGATATCTTGCAGATTGCAGATAAATTTTACAACCTCACCAGATCTGCTCTAAATAAAGACAAATTCTAATTGCTAACAATCTTTCGTGCTGATACATCATCTATTCCTGTCAAATTTGGGTTAATAACAGTCAATATTATACCTGAAAATAGGTTAGTCTATTTCTAAAAAGTATGGGTTAACAATCATCAATTACAAACATTTATTAAAAAATAACATATTTGATGTAAACTGTTTTATTGCTTCTATGAGATACAAACCGTTAACAGATAAATAACTCTTATATATTATTAATATAATGTTATGTTTTCTGCTGAAATATCGTATGTAGTTAACATCTCTATCAAAAAATGAATGTCTTAAAATTTTTGCATCTGTCTGTATGCTCTTTAAACAAAAAATAAATTCGTTTCTACCCTTCCTAATTTTCTATTAAATTTTAAACTATTTTATAATTTATATGACCTCTGATCGTTTTAAATTAAATCATTTTCTACTGTTCTTATTTATTAATTTAATAATTTTTTCCTTTACAAGAGCATCTTTTTGATTTGACTTTTTCAATTACAATCATATAATATTCTTGCTATTTCTCTTTTAAATTATTAGCCACATTCCTTTAATAAATGTTTTCATAAAAATTTAATTGGTACCTCTCTTTCACTCATTAATTTTACATCTTTAAAACTCTTCTTCAATATCTCTTCTCTCCTTATGAATAGAATAATAGGAGGTACCCAACCTATCTCTAAAATTCTATTCAACAGCTTCCTAATCAAATACAATAAGATTCTCACTAACCATAATTTATATTATTTAGATCAGCTAATCTCTTTTACAGGCTATTGTTAATATATAATTCTTGCAAATTGTGACAGTTAGACAGGGTGTTCAAGTGGTAATTCTTTTAAGTTTATGTAATAACCTAATAATTGTCTCAATAAGTTAATAGTTCTTTTATATATCGCAAAGTATATTCACACCTCAGTTGATTAAGTTTTGTTATATATTGAAAAATATATTCAAACCTATAATAAATATATGATTCATTCACTATATACCGCCTAATGTATTCAATATATTATTGAGTATATTTTTATATATTAAGTCAAAATTAAACATGAATTATGTTATAAATACAAATGTTACAAAATGTTTTAAGTAAATCAAATAAAGATTTATTAGTAAATAAATAAACTAAAAGCTAAAAATACTAAACTAAAAGAATACGGAAGAAGAATTAATCACAAAATAGAAAAGAATAGCCTTGTATTACTTTAAAAAAAAGGGTTGCACATAGTTATCACTGAACTAATCAAAATTGCATCTAGCAATTGACAGTTATCTTCTTGTCAAGAATTTAGTCTTCTTTATATACTTTTTTAATGTAAATCTAATATATCAAATATATTAAATATGTTCAGTATATCAAATATATCAAATATGTCTAATATGTCTGACATTTAGATCTGCAACATTTTTGTGTTATATAAATTAAATATATCTATTAAGTCGATCCTATTAACTACGTCACTTACATAACTATTTATAATGCATTATATAGATCAATTACGTTATAATAGTCCTGTTACACTATTAATTAATTACTGAGTTTGACTTCTTCCCAGAGATTTTAATTACAGTTTAAAAAGATTTGGTTTATCTGATTTCTTTTATAGACTAGAAAACCTTGTATTAGATAGTTATATAGATAGAATACTCAAATCTGAATATAGATTAGCTTCTCCTTTATCATATTATAAATTCATTTTTCAAATACCTACCTTGAACAAACAAAAGAAAAAAATGATATCATCATAAAATTCTATGCTCAACGGCCCTCCTTTGAAAAAATTATAGCTGACGTCTCAAATAACAACTATCTCATCTACCAACATTTTACCTATGTTAACAATAATCACAATATTTGTTAGCTTATTAAATTTACAGGATGTTTATTCAGTATGCAGATGACTAGACTCAGGTATTGTATTATTAGCCTCCCTTATAAAAAAGCATTTAAAATCTAAATAGTGTCTAAATAAATTGTATACGCTTAAGAAACAACTCAGACACTCACTTATGGAGATTACTCATATCATTCAGATGATCTTTTTTAGCATATAAATTGCTAACATTCTAATAGACTTAACTTTGAATAATATTATTGACTTGCTTATTGATCTCTCTACACACTCATTAATGCTTAAACACATCCAATCTGCTCTCAATAGTGCTTTTTTAGTTCAATTCTACACAAATGAATCTTTAATAGGATTTCAAATAGACACTTGTAAAATGAAACTAGATTGGATAGATACAGATCCTGCAACCAACCTTTATCCTTTTAAAGTTTCACTAGTCAACTGGTTCTCTTCAACAAGAGCTGAAATGTATGTTTTTCTAACAGCTTTCGTAGTATTCCTTAAGAAAGTAGCTATAGAGATTTACTTAGATAACTAGGTCATTATTCACAAATTCAATAAATACATACTTCTCAATCAGCTATCACTAAAAAAGTTTGAAAAAGTCTCTAATTATACAACCTGATAGATCATCCGTTATATCATCAACCACCTCAACCTCTATGTCTTACTTCATAAAATCAAAACACATACAAAAAACTATTACAATGAAATAGCAGACAAATTAGCAAAAGAAGGATGCTATTCACTGCCTCTATTTTTAGCTCTTAACAATATCTCTTCATTTGATCTTTCATTTATTTTCAATAATACTCCTATTGAGGTATCTATCTGAGATTTCTTTAAACAATTCTTTACAATAAAGATTTTTGGCAATTTTCTGAACTTAAACAGAAATTGTAATCTTAGAACCCTCACTAAATACAAGTCTATCAATTGGTTTACCATTTAGTCCTTATCATCAATGAATATATTCTTCTTCGTCATATTCTTTGCTTCAAGTAAACTCAAATCCTTTATCATAAAAATTTTACTGACAAACTGCCTTTACTATTATACCTCTTCTTACTGCATCCTGATTTATACAAACACTTATTTTATATAAGATATAACATAATCACTGATACTATTACACATATTTTAAAATATTCTGCTTACTATCTAAAATGCTGAATACAATTAAAGCTACCAAAGATGACCTTATGGAATATATTTCTAACTTGAACAATGTTAGATACACAGCACACTAAAAGAAACTTCTTAATACATTAGACGCTATTTTTGCATCATCTTCAGTCTATTTTAATAGATATATAGACGTTATCCAATTCAAAATCCCTTCAATTCTAGTGGACATTATTTACAAAATTACCAGAAATAAAGATAAAAGTCTTTCTATTATTTCTTACTCATTGCTAATCTTTCATCAAAAATTATTTGAGGATGTTTGAAAACACCATTGTAACTTATTAATCACTAAAGAGCGATCATTGGGCATTACCAAACAAGACAAGCTTAAACGAGATGTCAGTTCATCCTTGTTACATAAATAGAAATCAAATCCCTCCTATAATTTGGAGATTTAAATACATCTAGCAAACAAATTTGGCTATGCGTTCTCAGATTTTTAAATAGGCACTAACTCTTTCTTTTTCTTTCCTTGTTGATGACAATTTTTATTAGATATGTACTTAGTGGAGTTGTTGGAGGAGGAAGATAATAATAGATCGATTTAAACAGGTTTGTAATATAACTATGGGAATAGCTAGTACTTAGCATAGATTTATTCTTTATTTACTTTATATTTCTTTATATATATAAATTTAATAAAGTTACTGGTAGTGTCATATCGTTAAAAAAAATAAATAAATAATATTATTGATAATAATAGTAATAGTAATAATAAAGTTAAAATTTTTAAAATGCATAAAAAATTGGTTAATTATTTCATAATTAGTTTAGAGTTTAAAATTAAATTTAATTAAATATATATAGGATTATTTGAACAAAATTCATAAATATAATTGTTTATTAAATAACTGATTTTAATATTGCAAAAAGAGTAAAATATTGATTTAGAATTATATGATATTAATAGTCTTCTAGTAATATGTGTTTTATTTTTGATATTATATTAAAATTGTAATAAATTTTCTTAATTTTACTAATCATTAAAATTTGCAAGATATTTTTGATCATTTAATGTAGTAAAAAAGTAAAGCTTATAAAGGGATAAACAAATTATATTTTATTATGTAATCTCAATACATTAAAACTTAAAATATATTTATACAAACATTAATAAATAATAAAACTTTTTTAATAATAAGGTCAAAAATAATATTATATTTTATAAAAAGGGTTTTTTTTTTTTTTTTTTTTTAATAAAACTATTGTTATGATGTTTCTTATTCAGAAATCGATCGCATTCGTAATACAGATGGACGATAAATGCAACACCAAAAATTTTAAAAAGGATTTATTTGGTGGTTGTACGAATGATCCAAGTCTGTATCAACTTTGTGGAATAATTTACATTTGCCGAAAATGTATAAAAAGCTTGAAAATAGTTCTTTAATTCATTCATTGTTATGAAAATTTTGGACGTTTTCTTATCTTTAATAGTTTAAAGAATGAAGCCCCTTAACAAAGGTAAGTTACAAGTCAAGCTTGCTTCGGTCCAAGCTTTTACAATTTGCATGATTTTGCAAGTTTCAATTATTAATTATTTTACATTGGAATCTTGATGGGTTAAAAGCAAATCTAATTTCGTTCATTTAGGTTTAAGTATACTATCTTTTCCCAAGAATAATAAGAAAACCAACAAAAATCTTTCTCCTTTACTTGTTCCAATCAATGATGCACCTAAAGAGATTTCTATTGAGGGTTCTTCACCTCAAGATTCTTCACCTGGCATCTCATATCCACTAGAGGACATTCCTATCATTACAACATCGATAGAAACTCAAAGTGAGAATCATTCACCTCTACCGAAATCACATTCAGCTACAGATTTTCGAGCAACAACTAAGGTCATTCGCTCTTCTTCACAGAATAACATACTACAACCCAGTTCTTTATATCGACATCAAAACCGCGTGTCGATGTTTTCATCAAATGTCTCAACTAAACCGAATAGTATAGTAGCCGCGCGTAAGCATAGTTTACCACCAGTTATGGATTTATTTGAAAGCCAAAAGCAAATTATTCAACCATTTATGACGCTGGCAGAATTTAAAAAATACGATGAATTTCCTCGACAACAAAGAGCTATTTTAGCTGCATTACAGCGCCAAGAAAATCGATTAAGAAACGAAGGTGTCATAAAAGAGATGAATAAGGCTACTTTAAGAGGGAAAAGAGGTGGTGTTTATAATATAAGATTATCTTTTATTCCTTATTAATTTAATTCAATTTATTTATTTTTTACGGAATTGAAATTAAACTTTTTAACAGAACGAAAACTTTCGTCAAAGACAAAGGAAAAGGAAACATTTGCTAATAGGTCTTCGATACATTCGGTAAGACGAGGTTCTTCTAGTGTTGCCGCACTAAAGTTTCTCGGGATTAAAAAGGGTAAAAAACGAACTACGTCAGGTAATTAATTAATTTTGGTTAACATTTATTTTATAAATGAATTTTGTCAATTAATCTATAAATTTTTTTTTTTTTACAAAATCTAGTTTTGTTAAATAATTTAATTTTGGCTATTAGAGATCATAAAACTTCAGATGCATTAGTAATCCTTTCCCAAATATCAAACAATGCTCTGAAAAAGAAAAAAAAGAATGAAGTGAATAAATCATTTTTACTGGCTATGGCACATCGTTTAGAAGATATAACTTTAGCTATGTTTGAACGTGGTTTTCCAAGTGATGTTAATTCACCAATATTCTCCAAACCAGCCAAAAATGCTGAACGTGGTGGTATTTCAGGATTACAATTTCCAAGTTATTTCATTTTGGCTGTGGCACTTGGATTGCATGGACTTGTTAAAGTAATGTTAAAGGTAATAATTTTATTTTATTTTTGACTTGGGTACATATATAACATTTGTAAATTTTTTAAATCTTTTTTTTTTTTTGTTTTTTTTTTTTATTAAATTACAGAGAGCAAATATGAATCAAACATGGTTTGGGTTAACACCTTTAATTATTGCCATATCTCAGTCATCCCGTACACTTGTGATAGATCGTTATTCATCAGGTTCAAATGCAACGTCCGACATCACATTAATTATAAAATTATTTTTGGATCATGGTGCAGACCCTTCACAAGGATTGCCATTGGAACAGTTTAACACGCTTAGACGATTAAAAGCAAAAGAATATATGAGACGTTTGAATATTTTGAATTCATTTAATCCAATCGATACGTCTAATGAAACAAATAAAATTGTTTCGGTGCCTCATCGACTTTATAATTCGGGTCTGAGTGCAAAAAAGACTAAAGAAGAAATAGAAAAGTTCGCCAGGGGAAAGTGGGTTCTTCCCATAGACATCGCTGCCGTTTCAGGGAATATTGATATAGTGAAAATACTCCTTTCAAGGTTTGTTTGTTGTCATAGACCTATCAATTAGAAATGAATTTATGTATTAAGACTAGTACTTTATTCTCAGGATGGAAGCATCGAATATTGCAAGCAGTTCGTTTTGCCTTTCTTTACAAAATGACGTGATGCTTACACTTGAACTTGCCCATGCTGGTGCAAATGTTAACCAAATGGACATAAGGTTTGCGATCATTCATATGAATTTATTCCCAAATTATTTGTTATAAAATAATGAAATCCTATAATTTTGACGTTTAGAGGAAGTACAGCATTACATCGAGCTGCACGTTCGGGTCATATAGAGATGGTTGTAGTATTATTACAATTGGGCGCAGACGTCAATGCTAAAGATGAAAATGACTGGTACAAAATATTTATTATTACCCTTTTTTTATAAAAATCCGAGTGTTTAATTTGTTACAATTAGATCCTTTTGCTTCATTTGACGTTAAATCTTTACTTATCAAGGGCCCCACTTCATGAGGCAATAAGTCAAAACCATTTGAACGTCTGTCCAATTTTAGTAGCTGCTGGTGCAGATTTACATATTACTAATAATATTGGAAAAACGCCAAAAGATTTAGGAATAGATTGTGGCTTAACTTTAGAACAAATTGAACAATGCTTAGGTATGTTAATTATGTCTTTTCTATATGTAGGTGAATTATTTTATCTGAATATTCAACTAATGATTTTTGTTTGTAAATCAGATGCAGTCAATAGCACGCATAGCGTACAAAGAAATAATGAGATCATGATAAATCAAAAACATGATATTGCAAATGGAACAACACATTTTTCAAAAAATATTTCCCTTAAGCGTTTTGGGACATTTCCGAGGAAATCGCAAAATATTACATCTATTTTGATGGGCGGTAGTAGTAAGTAGTAAACGATGATAAAGTGGTTATGATAAATACGAGACACTTCCTTATACAGTCAATCGGACTTTGTTACTGGAAATAAATTTATTTATACATTACATTATAATAATTGGAATTAAAAAGAAATATTTTATATACGCATGCTTTTCCTTTACTAACATTATTCATATTTTGTGTAAATCTTTATCATCTGGAGGTATTTTGACAAAAAAAAAATCTAGTTTTATTTATTAAATTATCAAATAGTATAATAGTAGTATTACGTAATTTTTTGAATTTCCCTTGTATATATTAGATAATAATAAATAATTATTAATGGATTTAACATTAAAATTGATACATCCTATTAATATCTTTGTATTGATGATTATAGAATAATGTAATGAATCATCCTTGGTAAAGTATTAAAAATAATAAATCCATTTATTTTATCAGTTTAAATTTATAATATTTTTTTTTGATTTATAAATAATAAAATCATATATTTTTTTGTAATAAAATATTTATACCGGGGGGGGACAAAAGTATTGCACGCTTTTATTTTTTCAATAATTTTTTATTTTTTACAGAAACATACAAATTTTTTT